GGTGTCTGACTCTGTTGGAGAAGACTCGGTGAGTTAAGCTCTAAAATTGATTTGTCAAGTGAGCAGGTTTAAATTTTTGAAAAGGTTTGTGTATGTGTGTATTTTTAGCCCCTTTCAGCAACACATTGTTTCCCACTGACATCAGCGGTATCTGGGTTGTCATGTGATCAAAGTCTGTCAAACATCCGTGTCGTCCGAGCCTGATCACGATTCTCATTCTTGCCTCCAGCCTGTGTTTCGCTGCCGTCCTCGGAGTCTGTTCCGTTCCCCCTCAGCACCCAGCCCAGTGTCTCGACCTTGTGCTAAGCGTCCAGACTGTCCCACAGATGATGCCACACCGGTCAAAGTGAAGAGGAGACGCAGCCTGGCAGAGGTCACAACACCGGAACAGAACCGTGAATCACCACGAATGGTGAGTTTTACCAGAACTGAGCAGAAACGATGTGAAATGCCATCGCTTTAATGTCATGAAAAAAAGAAATGTAGATTCAAACACCAGCTCACACTGAGCAGTGACCTGCAGTTTTCTGACTCTCTGCTCTTTCTGCTCCTCTGATACAGGGCTTTTCACTGCAGAGATCCAAATCCTTCTGTCAGACTACCATCGGGAGGCTGTATGACAGTGAAAACAGTTCTGCTCAGCTGATCGGAGATTTCACAAAGGTCAGAAAAGGAAGCTTATCCGTTTTGAATTTAACTCTACAACCTTTGACCTTTTTAAAAGTCCTTTAGCTAATGCCCTTGTGTATTTTTTAGGCCTATGCATTACCAACAGTGGAAGGGAAACACCAGGGCCTTAAATACATCACCCCAGACATGGTGAGTGTTTGACCCCCATCTTGGAAGCTATTGATATATATTTTTTTTTTATTCTTTTAGGTTTTACTAGTAGTTCCATAGTGCAGTGTTTATTGCACCTACTTACACATCTGCCTTACAAGCACAACATCCTGGGTTTAAGGTCTTGAGAAACCACATACTTGACCCCTCAAAGGGGCGACTCCGGTCACTGTTGACTGTAGTGTTACTGTAGAACGGTGTGTAACAAACTCGACTCTTGCCAAAAATCCCATTTCTTCAGATGGTGGCAGCTATGAAAGGAGACTTTGACCACATGGTGGACAGAGTTATCATCATCGACTGTCGCTATCCATACGAGTTTGAAGGAGGCCACATCAGGGTGAGTCTCCAGGACCTTGAATGCCCTTTTTATCCAAAGCTACATGAACATGATCTGAACTCAGGACCCGTGTCTCTATAGGGAGCGTTGAACCTGCACGAAGAGGAGCAGGTGGAGGACTTCCTCCTCAAGACCCCCATCGTCCCTTTCTGTTCTGAGAAACGCATCGTCATCATCTTTCACTGCGAGTTCTCATCAGAACGCGGCCCCAGGATGTGTCGCTTTGTCAGGGAGAGGGACCGTGCTCTGAACGATTATCCTAAACTCTACTACCCAGAGATGTATATCCTCCAGGGAGGGTACAAGGAATTCTTCCCCCACCATCAGGTCAGTTTTCATGGTTGTCATGCATGAAACAGTGAAGCCTGAGATCCTTCAGAGATGCTGTGATTTTTAACAGCCAGTCAGTAGAGACTGAGGGTGAACTCACATTAGAATGAGAATGTGGTTATCAATGATAATGCAGTTCCCTAACTGTAGCAGGAAGAAGCTTTCTTGGGTTTGTTTAGACGGTGGTGGTAAAAGGTGATTGAAGTCACTTTAAAGGAGAAAAAAGGGACTAGAAAGACGTTCAGACGTCCATTGGCTCAGAATTGATTTTCTGATCAGCTGTGTCACGCACGGCAGATGTTGTTGAGCTCAAACCAAAGCCCATCTCTCTCTGACCTCTAACCCACCTCCTCCTCCTCCTCCTCAGGCCCAGTGTGAGCCTCAGGCCTACCGACCAATGCACCACCAGGACTTCAAAGAGGATCTCAGGAAGTTTCGTCAGAAGAGTCGAACGTGGAATGGAGAGCGCAGCAAGCGAGAGATGTACTGTCGCCTGAAGAAGCTTTGACCTCACCCTGTTCTACTAAACGCACACACTGCCTGCCTCAACTTCCTTCACAGGCCCCACCCCGTGCTGCCAAACAGGAAGTCAGACGATTGGCGTGTCAGTCTCTAAATGTCCATGAATTGTCAACATTTTTTAAATGCAAAAAGGCTGAATGACGTGAAGAGAGAACACAATTGATCACATTGTTGTCATTTGAAACTCATTCAATTTATGGCTGTGTTTTGGCTATTGACCAAGTGTGAACGTTGTCAAGTTCTCTCATCTGTTTTGTTTTTTTTGTCTTGTTTTTTTAAATGGTTTTTACAGTTTTCATGTACCAGCAGCACTTAGTTTGAAAACCTAAAACAGTGACCTGCTTATTTTTAACTGCCTTTTCTTTTTTTCTTAGTGTTTTTTTTTTTTTTTTTTTTTTTGAGATGTTGATTCTATTTTTAACCTGTTAAAAGATGTTTAGTTTCTTCCCAGCTACTTTTTTTTTCTCTGATTGGCTCATAACTCTTTGGTTGAGTAATATCCTGAAACAGAAACGAAAGCTTCACCTGTGAAGGTTGCAGTGAGATCTTTGGAGTCTCCACTGCTGCAGGTCGGCCAGTGTGAGTGGATTCTGCTGCTTTTGTTTGAGCTCTTCCCAGATGGACGCCACTTCTTGTCAGTCTGATGCATTCAGACTGACAGAGGAGCACAAATAAAGTTTTGGAGAGAATCCAAACCCTGTGATAGAATCTTTTGTAACAAAATTTCCTCATCATACCTGAAGGTTTTCTTGAAAAGTTGTTTCATTTGCACCAAGAGCAGCTAAGTTTTCTCTGGCTTTAATGTTTAAAGGTGAAAATGTGACGGTATTTGATCTGGATAAAAATTATTTATCCATATTTTCCCAAATAAATTATATTTAATAAAAGATCAGATTTGACAGTTTCTTTCACTTGTCAACCTGGGAAGAGAAAAAATAATTTTCATTATGTCTGTGTTGCACCAAACTCCATTCATGGGGCAGGACACCAGTGGAGATGGTCAGGTCTTTTCCAATGAAAAGATTCTTCTGAGATTGTTGTCAATGGTCCAGGTTCCTCTGGAGTGGATCCTTGAGTCAAAACCTTTTCTGGATGAACCTTAACCTGTCGTTTCTCAAAGTACACGGGTCCTGAGTTTGTGACGTTCTCGACCGACGGTATTTTGTGGTTACGTCCATATCCGCCATAAATTTATTTATTTTTATTAAGTCTTGTTCCAATATTCCAATGTACAGCGCAACATAAATTTCGCGCGAGAACTGGTTGGCATGAGGACTGGAACAATGCATCGTCATGCTGGCCTATAGTGTTTACATTCTCCTGCTCCATTCACTTCTTTCGTTTGTGTAGTTTTTTGGGGAACTTTTTGCCCTTCGTTGTGGCTCCCAGGTGTCAGTCAGACTCGGCCCGTCTAATTTCCGCGATCTTGTGATCATGTTTTTCTGTCCTTGTTCTGCGTATGTGTTTTTATCCATTAAATACACAAATATTCAACATTCAAGAGGCAGATGATCGTGTGACCTCACTACTGAACTAATGTAATGTTCACTGCAGCAGATCACGTGAGATCCTGTGGTTTTTCTATGGGACTCTGTTGATTGTACTGAACAGATTCATGTTCTTGATAAAAGCAGATCCTTCCTCATCACTCCAGTCACTGAGCTTTAACAACAGTCGATCTGTGCTCACAGACCTGTCCCGCAAACACTGCACTTCCTGGTTTTCAAATATCCCTCCAGCGCTGACCACAGAGTTTCTCTTCATGCTCCTCCTCCTCCTCCTCCTGCTGCTGCTGCTGCCCTGTAATCAGACAACGTTTCCAGGGTGTGGACTTCTGCCTCCTCTCACATGTCCCTACAGGAAAGTTCAGTTTTACACAGCAAAACAATCAAACTGCACGTGCAGTGAGCACGTGATTTGATATTTGTGTGTAAAGCACCACCCATTCTCTCCACCCCAACCCTGCCTTCTGCCTTCATGCCTTCATGTCCATAAACATGAAATGTTGAAACCATTCAGTTTCCCTGCGGCTTGGTGTGACTGTAAAAATGTGAAGTAAGAAGAAGTTACTCAATGGAGGGTTTGAAGCAAACTGAGGTGACTGGACCTGACTAGACTATTTCAAGTCTATTTGCTTCTGTGAGGTCAACAGTGTGCAACGCAAACCGTCTTTACAGTATCTGAGTGTGTTAGTTTAAATGTATGAAAACAGTAGTTGACCAGTAGACATCGACACGGCTGCTGATTTATGGTTCTGTTGGTGGTCACTCTCTTTCACAACACGAGGAGTTTAACGTCAAACTAAACTGTGCCAATGCACAGTTCACCACCACAGCCTGGATTGAACAGAACGCCTTAACGGTGTAGCTTTTTTTTTTTGTGGCAGTTTCAATGTCACCACAATGCAATGCATGTTGATACTAGTTAACAAGTGAGTGGTCATTAGCAAATCAATTACGAGCGTAGACTGGTAATCGTGAATGCTCGACAATCTCCGTGGTTGACTCCGACCACGGAGGACCCTCATAATCGGCGTCTATGGAGGTAGATAATGTAAACCATAACTTATTGAGCTATACTAGCATTTAAGTAGTTAAATATGTCATTCATTTACATCTACGCATTGAACTTTCATAACATTTTAAAGCTAATGAACAGACTAATATCTTAAAGTTTGGGTTATATAAAATAACTGAAGGTTAGCTCACAATTAGGTAGAAGAGAAAGTACATTTATGGAATGTGTTGGAGAAATATAAACTAAAATAACTAAATATAAACTAAAGTAAGACAATGGCGGAAAAAGTCAGATTTATTTATGAACGTATATAAAGTTCATCGATATAAAGAGATACATTGCTCTTAAATACGAATTATTTACCTTCCATTTTAAACCCAACGACTCGGAAAATAATCGAATGTTGGAAGAATGAGTAAAATATTAAACGGAGTTACTGCGCCCTCTGCTGGTGCGAATAAAGTATAACCCCTGTGTCAGCACTCGAACGTCATATGACCAAAGCGGAAGTCGTAACTAAGAAAACGCTGCTATATTGACAACTGTTTCAAGCTAAAGCTAGCAGCAGCTCCAGCGTTTGTTCAAAACAAAACTTGTTTTATTAGTATATTATCATTCTCTGTCCTCATGGTACGATGTTTTCTGATCCACACCGTCGTCCCGGTCCAGACTCTGTCGTCCGGGGACAGCAGAGTCCTCTACTCCCGGAGCTTTGGTCCAAATGAACTGGACTCAGAATTAAGTCCGGAAGACAGGAGACTGTTAGAGAAGGAGAGGATGCTGCTGGTGGTGAGGTAGGAGGACAAAGTTTCTGTCTCATTTGTGTCAGATATTAAAGTGAGACATTGGAAGATCTGTGGACATTGGTTTGGTTAAAAAAAATATTAAGAATGATGAGATGGTTGTTTTCTGTCTTCATTGAGATAGTTCTCTTTGTTTACCTCAGGTTTTCGTCGTCTATGACAGGCATGAGCAAACTAAGGCCTTGGAGCCATTCATCTGTTTAATCTGACACGCCTAACTTTTCCAAATTTTATAATGTATTTATATTATCATTATACTTCTGCCTTTCCCTGCAATACCCACATTTCCCCAATAGATAGCGTAGAAAATGACATTTTTCAAAATCTTTATTTATCTTAGTTCACACAAACGCTTCTTCTATCTTCCCCCGTGTCTCAGACAGGTGAGGAGCACAGTCTCTCTGTCCAGAGAAGCTTCTGGGAAGCCTGTGGTGGAGATGGTTCCAGGTGAAGAGACTCTGGCTCTCCAGGAGTCCAGCAGCGGGGTGATCCGTCTGAGGGCAGGAGAACCTTTCCCAGAGGAGATGAGCGCCATCTGGCTGGCAGTTCAGAGTCTGGGCTTCACGCTGGTGTGTGAAGCTCATGAGAACCTGCTGCTAGCTGAAGGAACGCTCCGAAACCTGGTGCGTCACTGTTTGGAGAGCCTGCATATGCTGGGACAGGGCAGCGAGGTGAGACGACTGTGGGAGCTTTCTTCTGAGAAGTGGTGATTTAAACCCAACTGTGTTCTGATCTGGGGCCAGCTGTGGTCTGTCTGTCTCAGAGTTGGTTCTTACAGCATCTGTAAGAGTGGTGTCCATCAGAGGTCACCATAAAAACACAACAAACAAATTAAAGAAATGTATCTTTAAGGATTAATTTCATTGATCTGTATGTTAGAAAAAGTCTTGGAGGCGGAAGCACTGAAGTTTGTAAATGTGTTGATGTTAAAAAAAGAGAGATTGAAGTTTGTTAAGGAAACATTTTTTCAGGGACAATAATCTCTGCAGCCAGATGGGGGCGTCACTAAAGTCTGTATTTTTCTTCCATAATCCAGGTTCTTCTGAGGAGCCATCGGATCGATGCTCTGCTCAATCGTCTGCTTCCTCACGGTCAGCTCCTCTTCCTCAACCACCGGTTCCACCACAGCCTAGAGAAGGAGGTCGCGGCCTACGTGACCAAGTGACCTGCACTGATCCAGTCTTCAGAACCAAAGTCAAAGGTCACGTCCTTCTCTTCACTACACTTCAGTCCTGTATGTAGAGATGTCTGTGTATTCAGTTTAGTAATCTGGAACTTTGGAGATATTCAAGGAGCCTTGATTTAAACACTTCTAAAGGGGAATTCTGGGAATTCTCAAAAACACACAACAGGTTTGAGGTTTGGTCATCGAAAGACTCACGATCGAGAGACTTGCGCACTCAAGCACACACAATGGTGAGCCAGAGATTTGAACTTCCTCTGAGTGGACTTTAAGATGAATGGTTGTGAGTCAGTAAAACAGCCACGGTGATGAAATATCCTTCAAATTCCAGGTGGGTTCCAGGATGCTGCCTTGATATCCTGGAGCATCAGATTAAGGACAGTTCACTTCAGCTGATGTTTCTGCAGCAGCATGTGTTAATTCTGTTCTGGCTGAGTCACTGTGTGGAAGGTTTGGAAAAAAAGTTTCAGATTAGAGATGAAGGAGAAGAAGAAGACCACCAGGATCAGAAACACTTGAAACGTTGTGACAACAGAACAGTAAATAAACTGTTTTTTTCTAACAAAATCAAAAAGGTTGATTTAAAAAAACAACAGGTGTCGATGTGATGGTAGCAAATCAGATCAGAGGTCAGATGTCCTGACTTTTGTTTCCTGCTCTGTCAACATTAAAATCCTCTGAAACTTTGATTTCTTTCTCTTTAACTTAGGTTTGCTTGGTTTTATTGTTTGCCTTTCATTTGAAATAAAAACCAAACAAAGCCACCCGACATCTGAACTCAATCTTTTTCCTTGAAGACACGTATTACTCCTGAAGAAAACCAGCAGAGGGCGACAAACCCCGACTTTCTCTTCACTTAAATTCAACCTTAATTTGTTTATTATATATTTTATTGAAATTTGCCCATGAGAAGCCCTTTGGAATTACCAAATATATATCTGATGTAATGCAATGCATTAATTGTTTATAAATTGTTGACGTAAAATAATATAATGCGTGACAATCTTTTGCATCTGAAAACTGGTAAAAGTAAATATAAAAAATCTAAATCGAGGAACTAAACAAAACTCATTTTTAATCTTAGTTTCACAATATCATTATTGTAATTTTTAAAATGTTTTAATCATCGCTCTCCATAGCAGTCGTGGGATTAGTTTGGTTCAGTTTTTCTTTTATATCACTGAGGACTGACAGTTCTGAGTTTTCCCACTGGAGGGCAGTGTTCGACCACAGCTTCAGCCAGTCCTGTTCTCGGCACCAACTGCTGCTGCTTTTACTGATGCTGAAGTGCTGTTCCTGATGCTGCTGCCTTTACTAATGTTGCTGCTGGTGCTCTCTCTAGTGCTGCTACTTTTACTGATGCTGGTGCTATTGCTGCTGCTGCCATTGCTGATGCTGCTGTTGCTGATGCTGCTGTTTCTGATGCTGTTGTTACTGCTGCTGCTGTTACTGCTGCTACTGTTACTGCTGCTGCTGTTTCTGCTGCTGCTTCTGTTACTGATGTTTCTGCCGCTGCTGTCACATTCTGCTGCTGGTGTTGTTACTGACGTCAGTGCTGCTGCTGTTTCTGATGCTGATGTTGTCATTCGTGCTGCTGCTGCTGCTGCTGCTGCTGCTGCTGCTGCTGCTACTACTCTTCCTCTTCTTCCTCTCCTCATAATGATCCAGATGCTGGTCTGTGAATGTTTCCCTCTGCAGAGTAAAAGCTCCTTTTCTCTGCTGCCTCATTAGACTCTGCCACCACTCTCCCCCAGTTCATGAGAAGAGCAGAGTGAAGAAAATGGACCGACTCCAGCTCCAGCTTCACAGACTTACTGGGCATTTCAATGTGAGCAGGGAAACCTTTTCTCTTCAGCCTGGGTCAGAGCCAGTGACGTCGATCGCTTGTGTTCACATATAAAAACAACAGTTCTATTCCTTCCTTATTCATTTAGAGATTAAGGATCGTTCACGGATCATCTTTGGATTTGAGTGTACCTGTAGGAGGCAGATGGATAGATTCTGGAGCCAACCACAGTCTGTTGCTGCGTCTCACAGTCTAATGACGTCACAAATCACTTTCCAGATCTTCTGTTCCCCCCTTCCCATTAGAGATGTTTTTCACAGCTTCTTTCTTTCTGTTAAGTCCACACCTTTCTTCTTCACCTCTCTCCTGAAACACCTGTCTCTGTTTATGACAGGATTAAATCTTCTTCCTGCAGTCAGAGTTAAATTCTGCCAGAACGAGAATGTCCATCGGTTCTGTTCGAATAACCTGACGCCCCCTGTTGTTCAGCAGTGTTTTGTACAGACAGAAGTCTGGATCTTTGGTTTGTTTTCCACCAACCCTTTGATGAGTTGCAGTGTAAACAGTGAGGACAGAGAAAGTCCAGATGTTCTCAGAGGAGATTAGAGCGGACAGGAAGTCATCTGTGTCTGTGGAAGGATTCACCTCCGTTCTGTCACCTCGAAAACTCATTAGCTGCTCTGACCTAAAGTCACATTTGTGCTGAGGTTAGACTGGACGTCAGAAAGTGCCCAGCTGCAGAAATGAACCTCAGGCTGACAGGAAGTGACTCTGTTCAAATGCTGCTCTGTGGTGAAGTTCACTGGTTTTCTAACGTCACTGAGCCTTGACCTGAGCGTCTGGATGCAGGTTCTCCTCAGTAACAATTGTTAGTGTGTACATTTAAACAAGAAAACAAAGCAGGAAACATGGGAGTGAGGTCTGTACGGTGGGTCCTCGGTTTACAACGTCCTCACACTGCGGCGTTTCATGGTCTTGTCACCATCACTAGTTGGCGATTTGAGTGGATGAATGTCGTCAATATGTTTATATTCACTGGTTGTGCTCCATCCATTGGTTTGGAGTGTATTCACTCTCCTTCGTTTGTGTTGTTTTTGCCCTTCATTCTGGCTCCCAGGTGTCAGACTCTTCTGATGTTTTTATGATGTTAGTAGTAGTAGTATGTGTTAGCATTGGTGAGTGACACAGGTACTGATGTACACACACACACACACGGAGAGAACAGTGTGTAGCTGCTCAATACACTTCCAATATGCATTTCTGAGTATGAATTATTATTTCAGTCTTTTTGTTTTTCTCTGTTGTTAAAATTAAAGGCGCTATTTCTTTGTTAAATCAAACCCCCTCTCTCTCTGTCTCCCTCCCTCCCTCTCTCTCTCTCTCTTTCTCCTGACCCTTGTGTCAGCAACAACACACCTTCTGCTTCTTTACAGCCAAGTCGTTAATCCCAGTTTTAACAGTAATTTAAGTAATCAGATGGCAGTGAGGGCTTGTGTTTGTGAGTGAGTGAGTGTGTGTGAGTGAGAGTGTGTAGGTGTGTAAGTGTGTGAGAGTGTGTAGGTGTGTGAGTGTGTGAGAGTGTGTGAGTGTGGCTCTGAGTAATTGTGATCACACACTTTTACGGCGTGGCTGCTGTAAAGCGTTACGACCTCGTCCATAAATTAACATCTGAGAGAAGTCCAGGAGCTTTGATGGTGAAGCTGCGGTCTGAGGCTGAGATGGAGCACAATCATTCATCATCACAACGAGGACCACAACGACAACAACAACAATCACAACAACAACAACAACAATAACCTCACCACTTCACTGCTGACAATGATGTCCTGTGTTGTTACTGTTGCTGTTGCTGCTGCTGCTGCTGCCTTTGTGCTAATGCCGTTGCTAATGCTAAAACTGTTGCTTCTGCTGCTGTTACTGTTGCTAATGTCGGACCCCCTGGCCCCCCTCTCCCTCATAACACGTTCTAGATATAAAACCAGAGTCAGACATGAAGAGCAGCTGAAGTGAAGTGCAGACACTGCCACAGACTTTTTTCTCCACTGTTGTTTCATTCATGCACTACTTCAGTCTGTGCTGCTTCTCTGTGCTCCCATCATGCTCTCTGATTGGCTCTGACCCCTCTTCATCAGGGCTAAGGGCCACCATTGATCAGCAGAAGACAAATGTCTGTTTTAGATGGCCTTTGCGGGGGGGGGCGGGGGGGGTCAGCAGGTTAATTCTCAGGAGCTTCATTCACGGATGTCTCTGCTAATGAGGCTGAAGCTGAGCTGCTGGAATCGAACCCCTGACCTGAAGCTGAGTTGCTGGGTTGCAGTGACATCACAGACCACACCGTGGTGGGCTCCTCGCTGCTGCTGATGTGGAGAAGAGAGTCTGCATAAAATGTCAGAGGTCAAAGTATAAAACCGGGAGAGGTCTTCTCATTTTATGTAAACTGGAGTCGCCCCCTACTGGCTGATCACTGCAACTGTTGAACCAGCAGAGTTGGTTTTGTTGCTTTCCATCATCTGGGGTTTGGACTATGACTGTGTGCTGCTGTTGTCTCAGAGCAACAGAAATAGAAGTAGTCATTCACGGTGACACTTCCTGAACGACTTCCTTGTGATGAACTCCGAAACATTAAACTAAAGCTCTAAAAATAAATAGAAGAGAGAAGTTTGTAGAGAGTAGAAATAAACAAGGTAGAACAGAAAGTGGATAAAAAAACACACACAACAGTTTTCTTTGTGTGTTCATTACTGTCGGGAAGAGGAATAACAAACCCCGATTCCTGACGGTGTGTGATGCCAGTTTGCCTCTGTCTGCAGCAGGTTGTCGTCTCGTTTGCATAGAAAAACCTGGAATCTGTCAAATGCGTGTGGGAAATATTTCTAAACATACGCTCAGTGTGAAGATACGTGTGTGTGTGTGTAAATGCTGACGGTTGTCACCGACCTCAGATTGTTTCATTTGTCAGGAGCGTCTTGTTTGTATGAAGGAGCTCTGATCTGCAGAAATTCCTTCATGAAGATCCTGCAGCGGAGACTCCGTCCTGGAACCATCAAGTGTTTGGAGACGCAGACGGAGAAGTCGTCACCAAGCTCAGATTGCTTAATTTGTCAGCGAGTCAGGAGCGTGACAACATCTGTGCACATGGTGCTGGAAAAAGAGTGGTTTTGAGGAGGAGATGACAGCGTTCCCCACGGAGTCTCGTTCTCGTGCTGTGTGCGTGACGAGCTGGTTCATTATCTCTAATGTTGTCAGGTGTCAGGTTCAATCAGGAGGATCACAACAATCAGATGAACTGACTCCGGTCGTTCAAGTAGTCACAGAGTTTGGAGGAAGACGGGCTTAGCGGGCAGGGTCCTCATCGAGACCAGGGCTGTCAAAGTCAAATTCACAGTGGGCCAAAATTAAAAACTGTGACAGAGTCGTGGGACAAACTTAATGTTTATTGAATAATTGACGGCACATTATTCATGTTTTCCCTTCTCTCCAGATATGTCATGTAGAATCTTTTCATATGGAAACAAACTTTAGTTTCATGTAAACATTGACTCTGGATCAACCAAGGCTTGATATTATAAAAACATGAGAACTTAAATTTGAAACAAAACACACATCAGTGGTGTTTCACAGGCCATCAAAAAAAAAAAAAAAACCCACTGCAGATGGAAAACGACACTGATAAACACAAGAATGATGGTGGAGCAGCGACTGTAGTGGAACAGGCTGTCAGATTACATTCAATTAAACCAGGTTATATTAGACTATAACCAGATTATTTATTACGTTAGGTCAGATTATACCAGATGTATTATTCAGTACCATACCTAGACTAGATCAGGTTATATCATGTTATTTCAGATCATACCAGACTACACCAGGCTATATGAGAAGACTAGATACCAGACTACACCAGGCTATATGAGATTATTACCAGAATAAAGTAAATCATATCACGTTCTACCCAGATTTTACAAGATTATGCCAGAC